CCTATTCCTGAAGGGATTCAGTTGTGGAACGGGTTTGCCAAGCAGGGTGTCAGTCCTTTTTTGCTATTATTGAGACATCGGCTCCCGTGTCAATAAGGCCAGTAAATGATTTACCTGAAACAGACAGTTAAAGAAGGTTGGGTATTTGTAATAGCAGTTGTCCAAAATGCTTGATTTCCAGAGCTGCCGAACCCCCGAGGACCTCTTTGCAGAGATTGTGAGGTTGGGGCCCAGTATGGTAAAAGTAACAACTGTGCAATACGAGTATGAGGAGAGATAATGACATATTTATGGGCCATAAGCATAGCCTTATTTCTCCCGTGTAATCTGAGTCCACCACGCCTGGGAGGTCGAATATGCCGTCTACAGTAATGCTTGAACACCCAAGGATTAGCCCAACATAACCCTGATGGAGCAGCCCCCAAATTCCAGTGTTACCAAGGCGTACTTCACCGGAGACATTAAGAATTAATTCATGAGTAAGAGACAAATCCAATGCTGCCCTGCCTTTAAAGGCTGCCTTTAGATCAAAAATTGATTGGAGAGGTTTCCCTCCTGAGGCTGGGGGTTTGGAATGTTGTTTTGAAGCCACATTGTTAGTGACGCCCCGGAAGGTTCCATGTGACATCCATACAAGAAGCTGGTTGGGGATATGCACTGGGGTCTGGTAATTGCCCTGATTTGTTTGACGGGCGTGCTTGCTCATGCCCCTCTGCCCGTTTCCCAAAATCGGGCGACCGTCCCAGGTAAATTTAGACCGTCAGTGAACTGCCCAATGGAAGCCTCGCTGACAACGGGGGCTTTTGGTCTTTGGTTTGTTTATTTCTGGAGCTTCCCTGAATTTGTATTAAGACAGTTTTTTATGAAAATGACCCATTTGTCCACATTTATAACAAGGGGCTGTTGTTTGTACAGCAGAAGCCAAGACCAGAGCCTTATGGGTTTTTGTCCCAATATCCTGGCAAGCCCGTAGTGTATCTGTGAGAGTATGATGCCCACTATGGAAGCTAGCACCTTTTACAGTCAGCACTAGTATTTTCATAAGCCAACTGTAATGTCAAAACCCGTCTAGCTTCTCCGTTATCAGCTTGGTGAGTTATTGCCCTCTGGAGAGGGTCTATGAATTGTAGATACAATTCAGAGGCTTCTTGCCAGACAGAGGCAAAGGAACAACCCGGAGCAGTATTATCAGGAACTTGAGCCCAGGCCCGAACATTTGCATCGGATATCTGGGTATATGCCCTCTCTTCTAAATGTAATTGCTCTCGTACAGTGGCATACGTGCCCTCACCTATAAGCATGCCTAATGAGATAGGAATATTTTCCTCCGCATTATGGCATGCCTGTATTTCTAAGTAATCTCTAAATTCTTGGTACCACAAGGCATATTGTGGTGCACTGAGAACTGTTTTTACCAACAGTTTCCAGTCCCACGGTGTCATCTGATAACTGCCACCTATTCCTTCAATGATTCCTCTCGTAAAGGAACATGAGATTCCATTTTCATGGATGCTAGACCTTAATTCCTTAAAAATAGAAAAGGGGAAATTATCATGGGTTACATGACCCCTTTTTGTAATAACAGCCTTCTTTAAGCATTTTTTCAACTATTGTTAGCTGACAAGAATCTTGAGACATTGGCAGATTAGAATGAGTGATAAGAGACTGAAATGCTCTAAGAATTTCTTGAAGCTTATTGGAGAGTTCAGTGGAGGGTGCAGTACCATCCTCTACTCAATTAAAAGATTCCCCAGCACCAGCCTCCGAAGAGGCCTTGTTGTCAGGGTCAGACTCAACAGAGTCCAGTAAAGTTTCTTTAACATCCTCGGGTAGAGGGGGAGCACTAAGTTGTTCTTTGTAATTGTTCTGAGGGGAGGTAGGATTATTACTCATGTTTTTAAGAAGGAAAAAAAGTTTTTACTGAAAAACTCAGAAAAAGTTATTGTCACAGACTGTCTCTGTGGGCCTATTATAAGGTTGATTATCATCACAGAGGTAGGGTCTGTGGGGCTTTTACCAGGCTGACTATCGTCACAGAGGCGGGGTCTGTGGGCCTTTTCCCAGGCTGACTATCGTCACAGAGGTGTGGTCTCTGGTCCTTTCACCAGGCTGACTATCGTCACAGAGGCTGGGTCTGTGGGCCTATCACCAGGCTGATTTGGAAGAAAAAGAAGATAGGAAAGACAGGACTGAAAACACCTTCTTACCGCTTCGTCCCAGACTCTGGGTCTGTGAAGCCTTTTGGCCAGGTTTGAGAGGACGTTCAATTCCCTTCTCCCAGCTTGAAAAGCAGGGTGTAAGGTCCCTGGTCAGGTGCCACTTGTGTCGGACAACACCACGCTGACAAATGGGAGTTGTGGAGCAGGCTGCACAATGCAGGATGAAGAGCAAGATCCTGGCCCTGTTATTGACACATGTGATTGGTTGTAAGGAGATTAAGGGGAAGGAGATTAAAGAAAGGGGAAGGGTGTAGAAGATTAGGAATTGTGAGTCTGCCCTCCAGGCACTTCTTATCTAATTGATGACACACCCTAATCCCCACCCATGGTTCTAATCTTATCAACAGGGTGTTCCACTGATCAGCTTCTGGGGTCCCTTGTCATACATCGGTCCTTGCCCCCCCCCCCCCCCCCCCCCCCCCCCCCCGGCATTCCTGATCATACCTTGTATACCTTGTGATGTATAAGTCTGGGAGTACGGGTTATGCATCGGTCCTAAGCCCCCTGGGCATTCCGGACATACCTCTTGATGCACATGTTATGCACTGGTTCTTGGCCCCCTGGGCATTCCAGACATACCTTGTGATGCATAACCTTCTCAGTGTGATCCAGCTTTGTGCTCTTGTTTGATTTAAAGGGCTGAAGGTTGAGCTCCTGTTCCTAACCGGCCGGGCCATTTTGACCTTATTTAGGTGACAAAATGGCGGCGGAATAGGCTGCCTAGGAGTAGCAGAACCACAGTGCCCGTCAAAGTGCTTCCCAACAATTGGAATCTAAGAGAGAGTGTTGTAGAGTCTCCCCCTAGGCACAGACCAGAGTCTAAATCAGATTAAAAAAAGCTTTTTATAAGCCAGCCAGCAATTTTCCCTCTTTTTTTTTTTTTTTGTGGTTTGTGGTTTTTATTTTTATTTTATTTTATTTTATTTTTCAGAGGATCTAACTGAAAGTATTTCAGCAGGAAATTTCCATGCTCCTGGAGGGCACAAGCTCTACAGGGAAGCAATGGAAAGGATTAAGAGAGACTATCTGCGCATGCAGGGGAAAGGAGTGAAGGTGAGAAATGAAGATGAATGGGAGGTCCAGAGAGGAATCAAGGGTGTGTCCTGAAAATAGCACCATTGGAAGCGATCAAGGGTGTGGGTGTGGGGACCACTGTGAGAACTTCAGCCTTTAAGGCCCACTCTCTGCTATTTACTCCAGGAGGAGAATATGAATGTCCATTCCTCTAAAATGACTACAGATGTCTGAAACTCACAAGAGAGAAGGGAAATCTTTTATGCCTTCATCTAGCAACATAATGTTCAATATGTCAAGGGGTAATGATTTATAAGTTAAAGTCAAGTCTGATCATAGTGAAAGGGAGTCAGGTGCATAGACACCTCCATACACAGTGATGATGCTTATCAAGCTGGGATTCTGGGCAGCCTTGTGATATTATGATAAGAAATGTGAAAACAAACTGCTGTTGTAAAACATAAAAACAACTGTTATTGCCTATAGTTGAGTTCTTCAGACATTTTCATTTAATCCTCCAAAAAAAATATTTACGAGAATTGATCTCTGTTTCCCACATTTTGTAGGTGGAGCTATGGAGGACAGGCAGGTGAAGCAACTTGCCTGGAGCTACACATCTAGCAAGTGGTGGGAGAATGGCAGTGTGATTAGAGTCTGCATGTCACAGTGTGTGCCATCTAGGGAAGCCTCCCAGAAGAGGGGGGCAATTTGAACTATTTGCACATGCTCTCCAGGTTAAGGTGTTGTCCAAAAGGAAGAGCCCCAGATAAACATGATAATATATGAAGCATATCTATGTGTATGTGCAAATGTATATATGTATACATTTATATACATATATATTTATATATTTGCACATATATATGTTTATGCCCCTGTGTGTGTGTGTGTGTAGGAGCGAGGGAGATATGGAGACCCTCTGGTCATGCTGAGTTTGGACTCTTAGGTGATCCAGGAGCATTTTTTAAAAAAGACTTATTTTATTTATTTATGCATACAGAACTGGGGTATAGGCCAGAGGTGTGGGGGTGAGAGGACTTGCCAGAGGCAGAGTGGGGAGCAGAGCAGGTGGATCTTTAAAATGCACTGCTGAGGGGAGCAGCAGGCAAGACAGGAGAGGTCAGCCACACCATGTGGTTCAGCTCCCAGCCAGGGATTGAACTCTTGACACAGTGGCTGGAGATAGCTTGACAGTGCTGAGACTAACCCCTGTGCCACCAGGGTGGCCCAATCCTGGAGCATTTTAAGCAAAAAATAAAAAATGATGTTGGTGGACTTGTTTGTACAGAACAAATCTCAATGGAAATCTAAGTTCTTTGCTTCTTCTTGGTTCCTCAGGCAAAGGAGGTCCTCCAGGGTTTCCTGCAGTCACAGGCACCAATAGAGAAATCCATCCTGCAGGCTGACACAGCCCTGACCGCTGGGCAGAAGGACATTGCAGGTATGGGGTAGGACTCTACCCACATGGTTGCTGGGGTGGGGTGGGAGGTTAGTTTCCTGCTTTGCACTTTGACAGAAAAATTTTTCCCTCCTTCGTGGAATGTGCACCCTGCTAATTCTGAAAATAATAGGCAGCACTCCTATCGTACATCAATCTTTTCCACCATATTCTCAGACCTGCTTTTGATAGTGTGGTCACCAGGGAAATTTGAGGTTTCCCATTCTCCTTTCCAAATCTGATCTCTATGGTAAGAGGATACAGCTTGAATGTGATCTGTAACTTTCTTCTCTTCCTAAAACCATCATGGGGCAGAGGAACGAGTCACGATGGCGCAAGAGAGAAGCCTCAGGGAGAACAAAGCCCAGGTGAGAGAGAAGCTGGAGAGGGAAAGAGAAAATGATCGTAGGGAAAAGAATATGATACTGGAACATAAGCTGAAGGTGAATCTGACATGGTCTCAGTAGTTATGGATGGCTTTCTCTCTGGACATCATGGAGGAAGGGAAGAAGTTAAAGCAAAACTAAAAAAAGAGACACATAACTGTCATTGGCTACATTTGAGGCACTAAAAGTATTGAACCCTGATTTTTTCAAGAGGTGTTTGATTTCAGCTCCAGAATGTGTCCTTGGCGTGTCTGTGGGGCCTTGACCATCCATGTGCTTGAAGGATATAAGTGACCTCTCCAAGGTTTAAGTTGCCTTACAGGTAGGCTTCTGAGATGGTCTTATGAGCCCAAATTAATGAGGGTCTCATGGATTATTTCAGCCCCATGTTTTCACATAAGCAGCAACCAGGTGCTTCACCAAGATGATTGTCAATTTTCATGAGATCTTCCATCAAAGATCCTGATTTGTAGCGATGCTGACCTGAAAGTATCAGATGTGACTGCATTTAGAAATATGAGGAACTAATGCCCAAAATAGGCAACTCAAACTTACATCCTTAAAGGACATGGATGGCCAAGACCCTACAGACTCGCCAACCCCAAAAAATAGATGACTGGATCAAGAAGATGTGGTATATATACAAAATGGAATATTACTCAGCAATCAAAAAGATAAACACATGAAATTTGCAGCAACATGGATGGAGCTAGAAGGGATCATGCTCAGCGAAATAAGTCAGAAAGAAAAAGAAAAATACCTGATGGTCTCACTCATAGCAGGAATTTAGAAAATCTAAATAAGGGGCCAGGAAAAAGACTAATTAATACAAAGTAAAAATCAAAATCAACAAGCAACTATAAACCAGAGACACATTACGGGAGGGGGTGGGGAGTGGAGAGGGGGCGGGGAAAGGAAGGACTTGAGTCAAATTAAGGGGGGAGTGCAATCGTATGGGGAATATAACCAAAATGAAAATGCATACATTGTGCAAAGATGAAAAAAGATGTAAGAATTATATAAAATAAAATATTTAAATAAAAAAAAAGAAATATAAGGAACTGGGGCCTCTCCAGGTGGCGCAGGCGGTTGAGCGCTGCGCTGTGAAGCTGTCCACAGCCTCTGCAGCACTGGTTCGATCCTGGTCCCACGTGGCCCAGCAGACCTCTCCTGTTGTGCCCACTGCTCCCCTCAGCAGTGAATTTCGGTCTCTGCCTGTTCTGTTTCCTGCTCTGTCTCTGGTGAATCCAATCACCCTCCCACGCATCTGGCCTATACCCTGGTTCTTGTATAAATAAATAAATAAATAAATAAATAAATAAATAAATAAATAAATCTTAAAAAAAAAGAATATAAGGAACTGGCACCTTCTAAACTTACTGCAGGTGTGGGTAGCTTGCCTCGGTCACTACCTGGGGCATCCTCTCTATTCCCCTCTGCAAGTATTTATGTATTTCTCAATCAACTTTTATGGTCCCATTATCTCTGTGATATGGGAGACCATGCCACCACAAGTGGGAGTGAATATTTGTGCAAGTGAACTAATGGCTCCCGTGCATCCCGCTGCTTTGGTTGGAGCATATTACTGCACTTGCCCTCATGCTTGCTGCAGCCCCTAGCAAAGCCTTAATGATGAGTGGATATCAGTAAGGGTGAAATGCTCCTCATTTCACTATCCATATGTAGCCCAGAAGATATTCTTTGCTTTAAATACTATGTTCTGAAGATGTGGTACATATACACAATGGAATACTACTCAGCGATCAAAAAAGGTAAACTCATGCCATTTGTGGCAATATGGATGGAGGTGGAAAGGATTATTTTAAGTAAACTACATCAAAAAGAAAATGATAAATATCAGATGTTTTCCCTAAAAGTAATGAACACTGAGTTTTTAAGATGTCAAGGATCAGGAAAAAGATAAAAGTTGCCAACTGACCATAGACCTGAAGCACCCAACAGGGGAGGGGCAGGCTTAAAGACAGATTTATGAGGAAATCTGAGGAGATGAATGCAGAGATAAATGTCTGAGAAAAGAGAACTAGAAGAATAAAGAGGAAAAAGACTCTCCCTGGATTTCACCGGCCTTTGACATATTTGCCCACCCACAATCTGCTGCCCGGGTGGCTAAAGTGATGGATTTGGGTTTGATGGTTCTGGGCAACCTGTTTTAATAAGATTAGCACCTCTTTTAAGGAACTTATGGAATGTGGATAGAGGCTTCATCCTGTTTTTGGAGTGTGTGTGTTTTCATTCAACTCAAAAAAGGTTTAAACATCAAAAGTACATAAACACTAAAGGATATTGGGGCCTGACACATATTAGATAGATTAAATGTTGATTTGATTAGTTTAAAGGAAAAAAAACAAATAACTTTATAACAGGAATGACAATTTCTTTTCTCTAGGCCAGATCTGTCCTGCTGCCTGTTTTTGTCGCCTTCACTGGGACACCACCTGTTTTACTACACTAAATGCTGTCTTCAGCAATATATGCATAACACAAAAACAATTCCGCCTGTCTTCAAGGTGTCATTTTGCATGGGAGCTTGCTTTTGAGGCTTATCTTTTTTACCTACCCTGTGCTATATATTGTCAGCCCCAGTAACTCCTTGCTTACTGCTTACTAACTCGAATTTTTCCTCTACAGGTCTTTCTGCTTGTATGCCTCTTTCATCTCAAAGCCATGTTTTACAAATACTTTAAACTCAGCACAAAATTTCTAGGTAGGTCTCATGTAGCACACACACTCTTTGCCTTACTCCACAGCTTTGGTTCTACATGGACTGATTCAGCCTTTTTATTCAATGTTATAGCCACTGATTTCACTTTAGATTTACTACTACTATATATATCTTTAGAATATTGTCATCTTTGTTGTACTGAGTTTTTAAAGTGTGTAAATACCATGAAATGGTCATCTTGAGTATACAAATTGTCATATTTATCTTTGCTTGCCTATAACTAAGATGTTTGACATTTAGTAGTGGTTCATAATTATTTAATGTGATTTGATTTATTTTGAGTGTTAACTGTGATAGCAGAGTAGTCTATAGTTCATATTTGCTAAGAGAACATGGGGTATCATTTATTGCTGAACATTGAATTTCTCAAGACACTACTTTTTCATATATTTTCTCTTACATGATTGCATTCAGAAAAAAAGACACTTTGAGAAAATTATTACTAGAATTATTTTATAGATGAGAAAACTGAGGTGATAAGAGATGTTCCTGGAACTATCCAGCTAAGATTTGCCTTTAAATCTGTGAAGATTTTCTCTTTGTACCAATACAAAGAAATTTAGAGATGTGAAATAAAAATGGGAAATGATTGAACAGAAAAGGATTCTGAATAGATGACTGTGCTTGCTCCATGTGTCTCAGGGATATCCTAAGAATGTCTGGTTGATCTCTGCCTTGGCCATGCTTCTCAGCAGCTGTTTCATCTACAACAGCATGAGCACCATCAATAATGATGCCTTGGAGAAACTGCAGTATCCTTCTTAGGTTTGTTGAGAAATATATGGCAGTCGAGACCAAAATGGATTCCCTTTCCTGTGGATGAATTGTCCTTGTGGAGTAGTGAAAAGTCAGTGTGAGAGTATTTATGATGACTTTTTAAGTGAGGGAAATGCGTAATTATGGATAATGAATTCTTTTGACTTAACTGAGTCCTAGTTATGTGACTGAGCTCACAGAACTCATCAGGTCAAAGTCCTCCCTAAGTGCCAAGGACGTAGAAGAGTCCACAGAGTGTCTACGCTTCTTTCCAGACTTTATCTGGACTGTCCGGGATTTCACCCTGGAGCTGAAAGAAGGTGATCGGAATATCTCAGCAGAGGAGTACCTGGACAATGCCTTGAAGCTGACTGCAGGTATGAGAACAGAGGCTGGCAGGGGATGGTCCCCTCAAGGCTGGGGTTCATTAAGCACTGTCCATTGTCTCTGGGGTTGCATTTGTATTTGAGGCTGGATGGAGGACCATAGAAATAGTGCCTGGGACCTTCCAAATATCAGTGACAATGATATCTAGATATTCAGGCATATCTAGAGTAGAGGCAAGTGCAAAAGATAAGCCCCAGTGTGGCCCGACAGCATTTAAACACACCAAGAAGAAAACATTTAATGTAGACTGAAATGAGTCAGAACTAACCTGCACTTAATTTATGCCGAAGTATCTAGATAGAGTTGATGCCAAAGCTTTTTAAAGACTAAACATTTGTGTTCCTTGTTAGGCATCTCCTTTCTGTGTTAACAATAAGCTCTGGAATTATTAGGCATGAGATCACAATAAAGAACATATTCCTCTAATTTTTAACCTTCTCAAAGAGGGATAAAACTTACTAGTCCTTGGATTGTTGTATCATCAACAAAAAGTGAATATCCTAAATTGACTCTGCAATCTAGCTTTAGTATATGTTTTTTATTACTTCTGAAAACAGCCAGATTTGTTATATTACTTTACTTATAACACCCTTAACATATTTATTCGTGCCTTGTTATTTTAAGTTATTTGAATGAATTGCATTTAAGTGGGTGAGTACTTGACAAAACCAATGTGTTTATGGAGTAGTGGTGAGTTCTTCACATTATACTCATCAGACTGAAAAATATGAGTCATTTTTGTGCTATGTGAATTCTTACTTGCATCAATGGAATTTTCTGTAGCTGAAAATAGTATTGTATGTCCTGTGCTAACCATTACTGCATCATCTAGGTAGTGCCTCTTCATTGTATTCCAAAAGTGTTCACTTTCATCTATATCCAACATGTGCTTAATTAGACCAGAAATTGGTACTTAACCTAGATCATTATTTCTTTTAAGATTAATTTATTTATTTTATTAATTTATTTATTAAAAGAACTGGAGTACAGGCCAGAGGTTTGTGTGTCAGGGGGTGTGGGGGTGGTGACAGGATTCACCAGAAAGAGTGGGGAACAGAATAGGCAGATTGACCGAAATACACTGCTGAGGGGAGCAGTGGGTTAGTCAGGAGAGGATATACTGTACCATGTGGGCAGCTTCCTGGCCAGGGATCAAACTTGTGCTACAGTGGCTGTGGACCACTTCATAGTTTGGGACTTAACCCCTGTGCTCCAGATCCTTATTTCTTGATAATTTCTAATGACTGCATTTAAGCAAACCACTAAGTCATTTATTAGACAAATATCTAATGAACCAGGCACCATGGTTGACTCTGTGGATACCAGTCATCTGTTTCTAAGCCTGGGAAGGATGTTTTCCTAAATTTCTCTCCAGTGATATGTCATTCACATGAGTATGATTTGCAATTTGTATGACAATGTTAATAGAATTCTATGAGCATACTACTGAAAAAAAAAGAAGGAAATGGAGGCATCACACTCCCAGACTTCAAACTATACTACAAAGCCATAATCATCAAAAACTGCATGGTATTGGAACAAGAACAGACATACAGACCAATGGAATCGAATAGAAAATCCAGAAATAAACCCACAGATTTATGGTCAACTAATCTTTGACAAAGGAGCAATGACTATGCATTGAGCAAAGAAAGTTTGTTCAATAAATGGTGCTGGGAAAACTGGGTTGCCACATGCAAAAGAATGAAGCTTTACCACTACCTCACACCATACACAAAAATCAACTCAAAATGGATTAAAGAACTAGACATAAGACTTGAAACCATAAAATACATAGAAGGAAATATAGGCGAAACACTACGGGATTTGCACATCAAAGACATCTTTACAGACACATCACCAAAGCAGTGATAGTGAAGGCAAAGATAAACAGTTGGGACTACATCAAATTAAAGAGCTTCTGCACAGCAAAAGAGACAATAACAAAAACAAATTGAAACCCCACCAACTGGGAGAACATTTTTGCACACAACACTAATGATAAAGGACTGATCACAAAAATCTGCAAAGAGCTGATGAGACTCAGCAACAACAAAGAAAATAATCCAGTCAAAAAATGGGCAGAAGAGCTAAAAAAAACTTCTCTGAAGAGGAAATGCAAATGGCCAATAGACATATGAAAAAATGTTCAACATCACTTGTAATCAGGGAAATGCAAATCAAAACTACCATGAGATACCATCTCACACCAGTGAGAATGGCACATATTAAAAAAAACTAGCAACAACAAATGTTGGCGAGGATGTGGAGAAAAAGGAACTCTTCTGCACTGTTGGTGGGAATGCAAACTGGTCCAACCACTATGGAGAGCTGTGTGGAGATTTCTGGACCTACTAAACATAGAGCTTCCATATGATCCAGCAATTCCACTCCTAGGTATTTACCCAAAGGACACAGAAACATCAATTCCAAAGAACACCTGCACCCCTATGTTTATAGCAGCACTATTTACAATAGCTAAGCTTTGGAAACAGCCCAAATGCCCAAAAATAGATGACTGGATCAAGAAGATGTGGTACATATACACCATGGAATATTACTCAGCATTCAAAAAAGATAAACACATGCAATTTGCAGCAACATGGATGGCGTTGGAAGGGATCATGCTCAGCGAAATAAGCCAAAAAGAAAAAGAAAAATACCGGATGGTCTCACTCATAGCAGGAATCTAGAAAACTTAAATAAGGGACCAGGAAAATGAATATAAGAAAGTGAAAATCAAAATCAACAAACAACTATGAACCAGAGACACTTTTTGGGGGTGGGGGGCGGGAGGGGAGGGATTGGGGTTAGAATGGGGCGTTTGCAATTGTATGGGGGAATATAAAAATAAAATTTATTATTTAAAAAAAAGAATTTTATGAGCATAGAAGATTCTAAAGATTGAAAATCCCAAGTGCTAAAAATATTTACCTGTGTTGTACCAAGTCTATGTAACTGTTTTCTGTCTTACTCAGGTAAGAGTGAGAGAGCACAACTGTCCAACATACCCAGGGAGTGTATCAGGCATTTTTTCCCCAAACAGAATTGTTTTGTCTTTGACCGGCCAGTACAAGACAGGGCGCTCTTGCCCATATTGAGGATATTTTGGAAAGTCAACTGGATCCAAAATTCCTGGAATAATCAACTGATTTCTGCTCTTTTATCTTCACCCATCCAAGAAAGAGATCACTGGGAAACCTAAATCATATTTATGTAAATATATTTTTGGGTGGCCTGATATGTGTGCTTAATGAATTATAATGTGTTCTTCAGCAGTTGTTTCATTTTATATAGAATTATGTTTATATAAAATTCATACTTTATAAAGAAATATGTATTTCAGTAATTAATTCTCATCACGATTAATGTCACTTTCTCAAACCCAAACATTGTCATTGATATCTGGAGTTCCCACATATAAGAAGAATCTCACTAGAGATGATAAAAATCACTAACTGGATTTAAAAACAGAGTATATACTCTTCTTGGGGGAAGGCCTATAGAAGAAGTGTTTCTCTCAAGGAGACTTCTTGGAGTTTAAGCTAGTCCAAAAGAAATACTAATCTTGGAAAATCCATGGAAAGTTTAAGAATGAGGAATAAATATTATCTTGTGTGATTTTCTTTCCAGATTTTTCTCTTGTGTTGTTGTGAAATAATGATTCCCAGACAGTCCTGATTATGTTAGATAAAGGTATATAATATTTTAAAAATATTATGGCTTAGAGAACAATAAAGAATAAATATGGAATTGAAGGTGATAAAAGTAAAGTAGTTGTGTGTGTGTCTCTGTGTGTGTATGTGTGTATGTGTGCAATAGACAGGGAGGGAGAGGAGCTTTAGAACCATAATGTCAAAATCTTTAATATCAATTGACTTTGATATTTATTGATTTCCTGCTTTATTCAGGGCTTGAAGCTCTGGTGGTGACCTATGTGGATGCCATCAAGAGTGGAAAAATTCATTGTTTGGAGCATGCAGTGACAACTCTGGCCCAGGTTGAGAACTCAGCAGCCGTGGAGAAGGCAGCCGAGCGAAACAGCCAGCAGATGGCCCAGCGAGTGAGTTTCCCCACAGACACGCTCAAGGAGTTACTGGACGTGCCCGCAGCCTGTGAGAGGGAGGCCACTGCAGTGTTCATGGAATATTCCTTCAAGGATGACAAGCAAGAGTACCAGACGCGGCTCATGGTCTTTCCCTTCCTGACTCTTGTCCTTCTAGAATGATGCCTTGAGATCTACTTATTCATCCCACGGCTCATTTCCTATCCAGGGCAAAGCGGTCTGGATTCCTATGACAGAACCGTAGAGTACTCTTACTCCTTTTTCCCCTCAGACTTTGGGAATTATTCAGGATCTGTCTGATCCCTCAAGCAAAATCAACAGTGATTTTGCCTATAGAGAACTATGTGATGGGCTCAGCACTCCCCTGTCATTCCTGAGCTGGCTGCTCGCTAGCCTCCTCACTCCTAGGCCCGGCCCTGATTTCCCAGGACAGACGATATTATCTGGTCATTCTTTATATTTATTTTTGTTTTCAGAGGTATCATTGCATGATTGAAAATACAGGATGCTCCACTACGAACTGTAAAGAATGGATAGTGCATTTTTTTTCATATTTGTAAAACGTATTTATTTATTTTTGACAGAAAATATTTTATTATTTTTTAATTTTTTAGACAATATTTGCTTCCCCCCACCCCCTCATTGAGTCCTCATAGAATTTCCTTCCCCAATGCACCCGTGCACCATCACCACAGTTCCCTGTGCTCCTCCTTCCCTACCCCTCATCCCTCTCCCTCCTCCTCCCCTGCAGGATGTCTCTGGTTATAATTGTCTAGTTTTGCTTTGTTGTGTTTTGTACTGTTATTTTTTTTTATATACTGATGTTCTATTTGGTTCCTCTATATTCCTGCTATAAGTGAAACCATTCGATTTTTTCTTTTTCCTTCTGGCTTATTTCACTGAGCATAATTCCTTCTAGCTCCATCCACGTTGCTTTGAATGGCATGAGTTTATCTGTTTTGATAGTGCAATCAATTTTTTTAACAAAGCTTTAGCAGGGTATTACAGAGCATTCAGAGTTGGGAGAAATTTTCTTGATTCAGACTCCATTGCTAGTGCTGCTCTGGCAGAGTGCTCTCTTAAGACGACCCCAGTTAGTCCTTCCATCTAACAGATCCTCTGGAATTTTACCTCCTCTGTTTCCTTCTGGTGACATCCTCTGCCTTCCCCTTCCAGAAAAACATCAAGAAGAAGAAGGAGGATTTCCTGCGGCAGAATGAAGAGGCATCTGGTAAATACTGCCAGGAGCTACCTGATCAGCTTTCAGAGGACCTAACTGAAAGTATTTCAGCAGGAACTTTCCATGCTCCTGGAGGGCACAAGCTCTACAGGGAAGCAATGGAAAGGATTAAGAGAGACTATCTGCGCGTGCCCAGTAAAGGAGTGAAGGTGAGGAATGAAGATGAATGGGGAGGTCCAGAGATGAATCAAGGGTGTGTCCTGAAAACAGCACCATTGGGAGCGATCAAGGTTGGGGGGTGTGGGGACCACTGTGAGAACTTCAGCCTTTAAAGCCCACTATTTGCTCTTTACTCCTGGAGGAGAATATGAATGTCCATTCCCCTAAAATGACTACAGATATCTGAAACTCACGAGAGAGAGAGAGAGAGAGAGAGAGAGAGAGAGAGAGAGAAAGAAGGGAAATCCTTTATGCCTTCTCCTAGCAACATGACGTGCAATATGTCAAGGGGTAATGATTTACAAGTTAAAGTCAAGGCTGATCACAGTGAAGGGAGTCAGGTCCATAGACAACTACATACACAGTGATGATGCTTATCAAGCTGGGATTCTGGGCAGCCCTGTGCTATTATTCTTAAGAAATGTAAAAACAACCTAAACTATATTCAGGTGCTAGTGCCTACAGTTGAGCTCTTTAGACATTTTCATTTAAGCTTCCAAAAAATATTTAAAGAAATGACTCCCATTACCCACATTTTGTACATGGAGCTAGGGAGCACAGGCAGGTGAAGCAACTTGCCTGGAGCTACACATCTAGCAAGTGGTGGCAGAATGGCAGTGTGATTAGAGTCTGTATGTCACAGTATGTAATGTGTAGGGAAGGTTCCCAAAGAGGGGGAATTTTGAAGGATTTGTACATGCTCTCCAGGTTAAGGTGTTATCCAAAAGGATGAGCCCCATATAAACATGCTAATATATAAAGCATATATATATATATATATATATATATATATATATATATACGCGCGTGTGTGTATGTATATATATATATATATATGCATACATATGTTTATGGGGTGTGTGCGTGTGTGTGTGTGCGTGTGTGTAGGAGGGTGGGAGATATGGATACCCTCTGGTCATACTGAGTTTGGAGTCTTTGTAGGGGGATCCAGGAGCATTTCTAAAAAAGACTTATTTTATTTATTTATGCATACAAGACCTGGGGTATAGGCCAGAGGTTTGAGGGGTGAGAGGACCCACCATAGGCAGAGTAGGGAGCAGAACAGGTGCATCTACTGAAATGCACTGCTGAGGGGAGCAGCAGGCAAGACAGGAGAGGTCTGCCACACTGTGTGGTTCAGCTCCCATCCAGGGATTCAACTCTTGTCACAGTGGCTGGAGATAGCTTGACAGTGCTGAGACTAACCCCTGTGCGACCAGGGAGGCCCGATCCTGGAGCATTATAAGCAAAAAATAAAAAATGTCATGGGTGGACTTGTTTGTACAGAACAAATCTCAATGGAAATCTAAGTTCTTTGCTTCTTCTTGGTTCCTCAGGCAAAGGAGGTCCTCCAGGGTTTCCTGCAGTCACAGGCACCAATAGAGAAATCCATCCTGCAGGCTGACACAGCCCTCACTGCTGGGCAGAAGGCCATTGCAGGTATGGGATAGGACTCTACCCACATGGTAGCTGGGGTGGGGTAGGAGGTTAGTTTCCTTCTTTGCACTTTGACAGAAAAAGCTTTCCCTCCTTCGTGGAATGTACACCCTGCTAATTCTGAAAATAAAAGGCAGCATTCCTATCGTACATCAGTCTTTTCCACCATAGTCTCAGACTTGCTTTGGATAGTGTGGCCACCAGGGGAATTTGAGGTTTCCCATTCTCCTTTCCAAATCTGATCTCTATGCTAAGAGGGTATAGCTCGACTGTGATCAGTAACTTTCTTCTCTTCCTAAAACCTTCATGGGGCAGAGGAACGAGCCAGGATGGCGGCCGTGAGAAAGAGCAGGAATTGCTAAGACAGAAACAGGAGGAACAGCAACAGCAAATACAGGCACAAGAGAGAAGCCTCAGGGAGAAAAAAGCCCAGGTGAGAGAGAAACTGGAGAGGGAAAGAGAAAATGATTGGAGGGAACTGGAGATGATATGGAACATCAGCTGAAGGTGAGTCTGACATGGTCTCAGTAGTTCTGGATGGCTGTTGCTCTGGTCATCGTGGAGGAAGGGAAGAAGTTAAAGCAAAACTAAAAAAAGAGACACATAACTGTCATTGGCTACATTTGAGGCCGTAAAGTTTTGAACCCTGATTTTTTCAAGAGGTCTTTGATTTCTGCTCCAGACTGAGTCCTTGGCTTGTCTGTGGGGCCTTGACCATCCATATGCTTGAAGGATATAAGTAACCTCTCCAAGGTTTGAGTTGCCTTACAGGTAGGCTTCTGAGATGGTCTTATGAGCCCAGATTAATGAGGGTCTCTTGGATTACAAAGTTTACATTTTAGCCCCATGTTTTTTACATAAGTAGCAACCAGGTGCTTCACGAACCATTGTCAATTTTTAGGAAATCTACCATCAAAGACCCTGATTTGTAGCGATGCTGATCTGAAACTATCAGACGTGACTGCACTTAGAAATATAAGGAACTGACACCTGCTAAACTTGTTGCAGGTGTGGTTAGCTAGACTCGCTCACTACATGGGGCATCCTCTCTATTCCCCTCTGGAAGTATTTATGTATTTCTCAATCAGCTTGTACGTTCCCATTATCTCTGTGATATGGGAGACCATGCCAACCCAAGTGGGAGTGAACATTTGTGCAAGTGAAGTAATGGCTCCCGTGCATCCTGCAGCTTGAGAACTCAGCAGCCGTGGAGAAGGCAGCCGAGCACTACAGCCAGCAGATGGCCCAGCGAGTGAGCTTCCCCACAGACTCTCTCCAGGAGTTACTGGACGTGCACGCAGCCTGTGAGAGGGAGGCCACTGCAGTCTTCATGGAACATTCCTTCAAGGATGACAAGAGAGAGTTCCAGACTCGGCTCATGGTACTTTCCCTTCCTGATTTCGCCCTTCTAGAACGATGCCTTGAGATCTACTTACCCCACAGCTCATTTCCTATCCAGGGCAAAGCAGTCTGGATTCCCATGACAGAACTGTAGAGGACTCTTACTCCTTTTTTCCCTCAGAGCTTGGGGAATTATTCAGGATCTGTCTGATCCCTCAAGCAAAATCAACAGTGATTTTGCCTTTAGAGAACTATGTGATGGCCTCAGCATTCCCCTTTCATTCCTGAGCTGGCTGCTCACTAGCCCTCCTCACTCCTAGGCCCGGGCCTGATTTCCCAAGACAGACGATATTATCTGGTCATTCTTTATATTTATTTTTGTTTTCAGAGGTATCATTGCATGAGTGAAAACACAGGATGCTCCACTAGGAACTGTAAAGAATGGATAGTGCAATCAAATTTTTTTTTTCATATTTGTAAAATGCATTTCTTTATTTTTGACAGTAAAATATTTTATTTTATTTTTTAAAATTTTTTAGACAATATTTTCTTCCCCCACCCCCTTATTGAGTCCTCATAGAATTTCCTTCCCCAATGCACCCGTGCACCATCACCACAATCCCCTGTGCTCATCCTTCCCTACCCCTCATCCCTCTCCCTCCTCCTCCCCTGCAGGATGTCTCTGGTTTATAATTGTCTAGTTTTGCTTTGTTGTGTTTTGTACTGTTATTTTTTTTTTATATACTGATGTTCTATTTGGTTCCTCTATATTCCTGCTATAAGTGAAACCATTCGATTTTTTCTTTTTCCTTCTGGCTTATTTCACTGAGCATAATTCCTTCTAGCTCCATCCACGTTGCTGTGAATGGCATGAGTTTATCTGTGTTGATAGTGCAATCAATTTTTTTAACAAAGCTTTAGCAGGGTATTACAGAGCATTCAGAGTTGGGAGAAATTTTCTTGATTCAGACTCCATTGCTAGTGCTGCTCTGGCAGAGTGCTCTCTTAAGACGACCCCAGTTAGTCCTTCCATCTAACAGATCCTCTGGAATTTTACCTCCTCTGTTTCCTTCTGGTGACATCCTCTGCCTTCCCCTTCCAGAAAAACATCAAGAAGAAGAAGGAGGATTTCCTGCGGCAGAATGAAGAGGCATCTGGTAAATACTGCCAGGAGCTACTTGATCAGCTTTCAGAGGACCTAACTGAAAGTATTTCAGCAGGAACTTTCCATGCTCCTGGAGGGCACAAGCTCTACAGGGAAGCAATGGAAAGGATTAAGAGAGACTATCTGCGCGTGCCCAGTAAAGGAGTGAAGGTGAGGAATGAAGATGAATGGGGAGGTCCAGAGATGAATCAAGGGTGTGTCCTGAAAACAGCACCATTGGGAGCGATCAAGGTTGGGGGTGTGGGGACCACTGTGAGAACTTCAGCCTTTAAAGCCCACTATTTGCTCTTTACTCCTGGAGGAGAATATGAATGTCCATTCCCCTAAAATGACTACAGATATCTGAAACTCACGAGAGAGAGAGAGAGAGAGAGAGAGAGAGAAAGAAGGGAAATCCTTTATGCCTTCTCCTAGCAACATGACGTGCAATATGTCAAGGGGTAATGATTTACAAGTTAAAGTCAAGGCTGATCACAGTGAAAGGGAGTCAGGTCCATAGACAACTACATACACAGTGATGATGCTTATCAAGCTGGGATTCTGGGCAGCCCTGTGCTATTATTCTTAAGAAATGTAAAAATAACCTAAGCTATATTCAGGTGCTAGTGCCTATAGTTGAGCTCTTTAGATATTTTCATTTAAGCTTCCAAAAAATATTTAAAGAAATGACTCCCATTACCCACAGGGAGCACAGGCAGGTGAAGCAACTTGCCTGGAGCTACACATCTAGCAAGTGGTGGCAGAATGGCAGTGTGATTAGAGTCTGTATGTCACAGTATGTAATGTGTAGGGAAGGCTCCCAAAGAGGGGGGAATTTTGAAGGATTTGTACATGCTCTCCAGGTTAAGGTGTTATCCAAAAGGATGAGCCCCAGATAAACATGTTAATATATAAAGCATATATGTGTGTGTGTCTGTGTGTATGTTTCTGTGTGTAGGAGGGAGGGAGATATGGATACCCTCTGGTCATACTGAGTTTGGAGTCTTTGTAGGGGGATCCAGGAGCATTTCTAAAAAAGACTTATTTATTTATGCATACAAGACCTGGGGTATAGGCCAGAGATGTGGGGGTTGAGAGGAACCACCAGAGGCAGAGTGGGAGCAGAACAGGGGCATCTACTGATATGCACTGCTGAGGGGAGCAACAGGCAAGACAGGAGAGGTCTGCCACATTATGTGGTTCAGCTCCCTGTCCAGGGATTGAACTCTTGTCGCAGTGGCTGGAGATAGCTTGACGCTTGACAGTGCTGAGACTAACCCCTGTGCCACCAGGGAGGCCCCATCCTGGAGCATTATAATCAAAAAATAAAAAATGACATAGGTGGACTTGTTTGTACAGAACAAATCTCAATGGAAATCTAAGTTCTTTGCTTCTTCTTGGTTCCTCAGGCAAAGGAGGTCCTCCAGGGTTTCCTGCAGTCACAGGCACCAATAGGGCAATCCATCCTGCAGGCTGACACAGCCCTCACTGCTGGGCAGAAGGCCATTGCAGGTATGGGGTAGGACTCTACCCACATGGTTGCTGGGGCGGGGTGGGAGGTTAGTTTCCTACTTTGCACTTTGACAGAAAAAGCTTTCCCTCCTTCGTGGAATGTACACCCTGCTAATTCTGAAAATAAAAGGCAGCATTCCTATCGTACATCAGTCTTTCCACCATATTCTCAGACCTGCTTTTGATACTGTGGCCACCAGCGGAATTTGAGGTTTCCCATTCTCCTTTCCAAATCTGATCTCTATGCTAAGAGGGTATAGCTCGACTGTGATCTGTAACTTTCTTCTCTTCCTAAAACCTTCATGGGGCAGAGGAACGAGCCAGGATGGCAGCCATTGAGAAAAAGCAGGAATTGCTAAGAAAGAAACAGGAGGAACAGCAACAGCAAATACAGACACAAGAGAGAAGCCTCAGGCAGAACAAAGCCCAGGTGAGAGAGAAGCTGGAGAGGGAAAGAGAAAATGAGCGTAGGGAACAGAATATGATACTGGAACATAAGCTGAAAGGTGAATCTGACATGGTCTCAGTAGTTCTGGATGGCTTTCTCTCAGGTAATCATGGAGGAAGGAAGAAGTTAAAGCAAAACTAAAAAAAGAGACACATTACTGTCATTGGCTACATTTGAGGCACTAAAAGTTTTGAACCCTGATTTTTTCAAGAGGTCTTTGATTTCTGCTCCAGTCTGAGTCCTTAGCGTGTCTGTGGGTCCTTGGCCATCCATGTCCTTGAAGGGTATAAGTAACCTCTCCAAAGTTTGAGTTGCCTTACAGGTAGGATTCTGAGATGGTCTTATGAGCCCAAATTAATGAGGGTCTCATGGATTATAAAGTTTACATTTCAGCCCCCTGTTTTTCACATAAGCAGCAACCAGGTGCTTCACGAACCATTGTCAATTTTCAGGAAATCTACCATCAAAGATCCTGATTTGTAGCGATGCTGATCTGAAACTATCAGACATGACTGCACTTAGAAATATGAAGAACTAACACCTTCTAAACTTGTTGCAGGTGTGGGTAGCTAGACTAGGTCACTTCATGGGGCATCCTCTCTTTTCCCCTCTGGAAGTATTTATGTATTTCTCAATCAGCTTGTACGTTTCCATTATCTGTGATATTGGAGACTGTGCCACCCCAGCTGGGAGTGCACATTTGTGCAAGTGAAAAGTGGCACCTGTGCAACCTGCAGTTTTGGTTGGAACATATTACTGCACTTACCCTCATGCTTGCTGCAGGCCCCAATCAAAGCCTTAATGGTGAGTGGATATCAGTAAGGGTGAAATGCTCCTCATTTCACTATCCACATGTAGCCCAGAAGATATTCTTTGCTTTAAATACTATGTTCTGAAGATGTGGTACATATACACAATGGAATACTTCTCAGCAATCAAAAGAGGTAAACTCATGGCATTTGTAGCAATATGGATGGACCTGGAAAGGATTATGTTAAGCAAAGTAAATCAAAAAGAAAAAGATAAATAACAGAAGGTGGTTTCACTTATAGGTGGAATATAAGGCAACTCAACAAAAGGTCAGGAAAAAGACAAAAGTTGCCAGCTGACCATAGACCTGAGCCATCCAGGAGTGGAGGGGTAGCCAGAGGGGTCGAAACAGGGGAGGGAAGAGGGCAATGTTGATGAACCATGGGTGCTATGGTGGCGGAGAAATCAAATGCTGTACTAAAATGGACAATGATGTAAGAAAATAAATTAATTATATTAAAAATGTTATCTTCTGATTGTTTAATAAGAGCATAGTTCTTTATGGGTAAAATACCAAAAATTTAGCAAAGTTCTTAAATATAATATCTAACTCCTGAAAAATGGGGATATTCAAGAATTTCTTTTCCTCTTTCTACACCCTTTGTTTTAGATGCAAGAAGATATGCTTAGTGAAGGATTTAAAAAGTCTGAGGAGATCAAAGCAGAGATAAGCAATCTGAGAAAAGAGATTGAGAAGAATGAAAAGGAAAAAGCCTTGATTTCAAAGTGGGTCCTTGAAATACTTTCCACTCCACAAGGTGTTAACTTGATTGCTAAAGTGATGGATTTGGGCTTGACAGCCCTGGGCAATCTGTCTAAATAAGATTAGCATCTCTTTTAAGGAACTTGTGGAATGTGGATAGAAGCTTCATCCTATTTTTGGAGTGTGTGTGTTTTCATTCAACTCAAAAAAGTTTTAAACATCAAAAGTACATAAAGACTAAAGGACATCGGGGCCTCACACATATCAGATAGATTAAATGTTGGATTTTTTCGTTTAAAGGAAGAAACAAATAACTTAATAACAGGAGTTGACAATTTCTTTTCTCTAGGCCAGATCTGTCCTGCTGCCTGTTTTTGTCACCATTACTGGGAGACCACCATGCCTCTTCATTCATGGGTCTTTATGGCTGCATGAAGTCCCCAATAGCAGAGCTGAGTAGCTGCCACAAAGACAGTATGGCACATAGAACCTAAATACTTCCTTATAAAAGCCTGCCATTCAAAGGTTTAGCAGAGAGAGACAAAACTTGCAATAGGTGTTAAAATTACCTAGGGGTAAAACCTATTGAGATTGCAACTGATATGCACACACACACAAAAGAATTCTATTCTATATATATATATTCAAGTGAATTCTCTAGTTCAATTGTAAATGTAATGTGGTCTTATTCAAAAGATGTCTTTGTGAAGATGGGTAGGCTACCAGTTTATACAACTTTATATGAAAATGTATAATTTGCTTGAAAAAATTGTCAGGTAATACAGAGAGAGAAACAAATATGAGTATGTTTATCCTGTATGTAGAGCTTCAGTGATGAGACCAGTGCAACACTGGGTGCTAACAACATAGGCGAGACCAAAGAGGTGTTTCCATAGTTAGGGAGAAAAAAAATCATTCATTTATGCTGCGTGTTAAAGTATTATTTTACATATGTGAGAAATAATGAAACGTTCAATAAATTGTCAAGAACACCTAAACACCTAGAGAAAGCCAAGACTCACTTCCCTATATCACATCGTATATAGATATAATAGCAGTGTAAATTCCACAATTGCTCTAAATTTTAACACGAATATTGAAACCATAAGATTTGGAAATGTCAAACAACTGGAAAAATCTTGGAATGTGGAAGTCCTTTCTAAGCACAACCTAAAACCCAGAAGGCATATAGTATAAAAAATTGCATAAGATGAAAATAGTTATGTCAAAAATCAAATAGCACTCTAAAAATATTTAACTTGTATCCAAATAGTAAATAAAAAAGGTAATCAACTTTGTGTATAATTAGACAAAGGTAACTAAAACTTGCAGGAGATCTTTCACTTCTCAGATTGACCTGGGTCAATAAATTAGATAATTGTGTCAGAAGGATATGGAAAAAGTCTCTCCTATAGGATTGTAGATGGACAATTTCTGTTGAGAAGTTATCCTAAAATTCTTACATTTTAATATATTTGAACCTTGATACAGCATGTTCACCATTTGGAAAACACGTGCAAATGGTACATATGTACACAGTCACACATCAGACACACGGTGACATTGCTTTTAGTGGAAAGAGAGAAAATATTAATGTGAAGTTCAGTGCGTACTCTGGTGGCATCCTACATAGTTATTCAATAGTTTGACAGTAGAATTTTATATATATATATTGATACAGAACAATCATCAAAATACAGTTTAAGGTGAAAAAATGAGGTGCAAGACAGTGTATAAAGTGTGATTTCTATGGGCAAAAATTCATGAACACCTAGTAACATTTGTTGATGAGAGTTCTTCTGGGGAGAACTACTGGGTAGGATCAGGAGCGAGGGGACCCATTAATTTTACTATATATGTTGTTTTTGGAATTTTATAATAATAAATACTCGGAGGGATGTGAAATCGCCCACGCAATGACAATTGCACCATTGTTTCTGTCTTCCCTACCAGCCGGTTCAATGAAGAGTTTTTGTTGAAATAACATGGTGTTAGCATCATATAAGTTTCACGTGTGCATCATTAGACATCAACATTGTGTAAACTTCAATAAGTGCAACACTAAAACTGAATATCATTGTCTCATTTGTCCCAATCAATAAAGGGTTTAAGTCTCAGCATCAAGAGTACTGGAAAGGGTCCTCCCCTGGTGGTGCAGGCGGTTGAGCACAGCACTGTGAAGCTGTCTGCAGCCTCTGCAGTGCCAGTTCGATCCCAGCTGGCGAGAATTCCACATGGCGCGGCAGACAGCTCCTGTCTTGTCCGCTGCTCCCCTCAGCAGTGTATTTCGTCAGTCTGCCTGTTCTGTTCCCCTCTCTGTCTCTGGTGAATCCTCTCACCCTCCCATGCATCTGGACTGTACCCCAGCTCTTGTATAAATAAATAAAGAAATCTTTATTTAGAAGAAGTGAGGGGAGGAGAAGCTGGGTCCTCAGGAAGAAGGACTCTGGAATTTCAGGATAAGAATAATGAAAATAATTCCTCCTGCCCTCCTCTAGAGGACGCCTCACCATTTATTCAAGCACATAGGTGCTGGGGAAATGAGAACCACAAATATTCAGGGACTCTTGACTCAGGCTCCAACTTGACTTAGAGACGCAGTTACTGGACAGACTCTGATCTCTTGTTAAGGTGGTGACACATAGGTCCTGGTAATAACCTGACCAGGCACAACTTCTTGCATAGGTACAACTAAATGGAATATAGTATTTGTTTCCAAATAGATAGTAAAATTCACATAAGGACAGGGACCATTTTTCTGTGCATCCCCCTCAGAGTTATTAAAGAATAGGATGTGCTACATAAGCTTCTATTGAATAGGCAAAAGGGATGATGCATACACGATTGGAGCGTATTGTGGTGTGACTCTCTGGATCAGTTTCTGTAGGCAGTGGTTTGTATTTCAAACCACTGGTGATTGTTGTAGGCTGTGGGTCAAGGTTCTATTTTATCTATGGTCTGGCCATTGTCCATTTGCTTCCTACTGATAACTCTATATTACGTAGAAATTTTCAGATCCAAATTCTTAGAAAATAAACATAAAAATCATGAAGCTATTGAGACCCATAGGAACTTTCAGAGAAAATCTTACACTGTATTAATAACTTTCATAGTTAAGAACTAAGAATGTATTTGAAATGATATCATTCTTTGTTTGCTGGCAGATAAGAATAAACCTCAGCTTTTTTTGGTGAAAAAAAAAAGAGGAAGGAAACAAAAATTTAAATCTTCTCGTGTATTTTATATCTAGTTATCACTCAATTCAGGAAGCAGAAATCATTAGAACTCCTTGCCAAATAAAGACTGATACCTTGATTCTGCCTGGCTGAAGTTTACAAACAACTCTCTTCTCCAAGTAATAGTAGATGTTACAATACATTATGGGGCAAAAATAAATTAATTCTGCTTGTTGGAGTCACATTTATTATTTGTCTTGCCAAATTACATTTACATAAAACTGAACAACAACATAGTAGTAGTTGTAGTAAGGAGTAGTAGTAAGGCCTCAAAACTTACTGCTGGGCCTCCCCGGTGGTGCAACGGGTTGAGTGTAGCGCTATGAAGCTGTTGGCAGCCTCTGCAGTGCGGATTCGATTCCTGGCCAACCAGGGAGATTCCCACATGGTGTGGCAGACCTCTCCTGTCTTGCCCGCTGCTCCCCTCAGCAGTGCTTTTGGTCCATCTGCCTGTTGTCCCCCACTCTGTCTCTAGTGAATCCTCTCACCCTCCCGTACCTCTGGCCTGTACCTCAGTTATTGTACTAATAAAAAATAAATCTTAAGAAAAAAAAATCTTACTGCCTTATACCGCATACATCTTACAAAATAAGTTTCTCTTGATTAATTGTTAAAGCCAGAGGGGCGGATCAACATGGCGGCGAGGAGACGCTGCGAGTAAGATCTCCCATTAAAAAAAAGTTAATAGGGAGGAAATGCGGCAGGTCCCAGTGAGAACTGGGACACAGAAGATAAATGGACGACTCCGGCAAACTACCCAAAGAAGAAAGTTGCCATAAAAGAGGACTAGAAAGGAGGAAAGTGCAGAACCCTGCTAATCTGCCCCACCCACAAAGTCGGCACTCTCCGACCAACAGAAAGGTGGAAAAAAAAAACTAAAACGACCAACAAGAACAAACTATGCATCAAGGGGGACTGTGAATGGAAAGGAACTATTTCAGCCACCACACCCCGTGAACTGGAGCAGTGGAGAACCCTGCAGGATTCGCCGCGGAGGTGAGCGAATGGCTCCAGGTGCCATTAGAGAACAACAGAGACTCTGGAGACCTGCACATAGCCCTGGGCCAGCCGGTAAGCTTGCGCGGAAAAGCGGTACGCTTGAAAAGCAAACGCAGATCGCGGCTGCCCTGGTCCCCGCGGCTGCCCTGGTCCCCGCGCCTGCGACCTAGGCTTGCGGGGAGAGGCGTGGGGGCCCTCACTGAGGTGAAAGTCCCTCACTGAGTAATCAGGAACCAGGCGCCCAGGCACGGGAGCGGGTATAAAATACGGCATTTCTGCGGTCATTGAACTGGGCGACAGCCCGCGTCCTGGATTTGAGGGCTTTGGAACTGAGACCTGGGGCATGAAATTCGGGGCATGGGTCTCCACGACGGTGGGGTACAAGGCAGACAAAGCACCCCAAAGCCGTTGAGGTTTACCCTACCATTCCTGCTCTGTTCCCTGTCCCACGGGGTGAAAAAAACAGTTCCCCAAGGACAATAGGAGAGATCTCTGGTGCCACCTAGCGACCAGAAAAGTCACTAACACCCCATAGAACAGGGACCTTTCTCAGAAAAGACTGCTTGAAAACCGCAGAAGGCTCCTGGAGGAGCCAGTGGCCAGCTGGGAAGTTGGCCCACGCCAGGCCCCTTCCAATCAGCAGTCTGAGCCCACAGGGGGAGCGGACACCCACGGCCGGGGCAGACCGGGCGCGCAGAAGAATGTGCCTGAGACCGGACGCGCAGGGAGTGCGTCCCGCATCACCATTTTGGAACAGGGACATTTCTTCAGTAAACACTGCCTGAAACCAGCAGAAACCTCCCTCAGGAGCCAGAGGTGAGAGGGGAAGTTCGCCCCACTAGGTCCCTTCTGGCCTGCAGTCCAAGCCCAGAGGGGGAGCAGGAA